GTATTGGCAGTCCTCCCTGACTGTACCCCAGTATTGGTAGTCCTCTCTGACTGTACCCCAGTATTGGCAGTCCTCCCTGACTGTACCCCAGTATTGGTAGTCCTCTCTGACTATACCCCAGTATTGGTAGTCCTCTCTGACTGTACCCCAGTATTGGTAGTCCTCTCTGACTGTACCCCAGTACATGTATTGGTAGTCCTCTCTGACTGTACCCAAGTATTGGTAGAACCATGTCCTTGTGTTAGGTGAACTGTGCCCCATCGGTTATCTCCCTGAGATGACATCGCAGTGCTTCCTTGCAACAAGAAAACCTAGTCCTGCTGTAGAGTGTAACTCATTGCAATTAGGCTGCTGCAGCCGTGAAAGTATACGGTTAAAAAAACGGAATTAGTGACCATTGAAAAATACAGGAAACTACTATTTTCTTTGATCTTATAATTGATGTTTGGCCATTTTTGCACTATTCCAGCATTTTAGCTAATAATGTATTAGAGTTAAGAAATGTTCACCAATGACTATTTTGGTTAATTTGATCTTTCAGCAAATTCTGGTAATTTCAACTTCAACAGCTCAATTTGGATTGTAAATGTGAGCACCAAACCAATGATAAAGGCAGGCAGTAAAAAAACAATAAAACGGTCACCAAACATTGGTTTTTCTATCAGAACAATAAAACGGTCACCAAACATTAGTTTTTCTATCAGAACAATAAAACTGTCACCAAACATTAGTTTTTCTATCAGAACAATAAAACGGTCACCAAACATTAGCTTTTGTATCAGGTTAGGCTTTACATGGTCATATTCCAGCAAGACAGATTTAAGGATAAATGTATTATTTTCAGGTGATATTTATCTCCTTTTTCAAAACACTTTCAGAAAGAAAACCATTAAGATATCTAATTTGAATGGAAAATTAACTTCAATGATGGCGGTTGAACGGTTACAGATACATCAGTAGTATTGGGGCAGTTTAGATAAGATTACTCTAGCTATTCGTCACTGTAGGTAAGGCTGATTAAAAGTATTTAAGGGAGACAACTCTTTAACATGGATCATCAAACATGTAATGGGTAAGGACACATATTTCCTTAAGAATATTCTGATAATAATGGATTTGTGTAGGAATCTTGATTTGTGTATAAAACTTCAGACCAAATACATGAATATAGGGGAAGTGGATAATAATTCCAAAATACTGTTGTGGAAAAAAACATCTAGTCAATGTACAATAATAAAGTCCTTAGTCAAATTTGATACCCAAAGATATCAACAGGAAGTGACACAAAAACTAAGGGTGCCATTACTGTTACTGAGCAACAATGTCATGTCACTGATTAGTTCCATCTCTCTGATATAGACCGTCCACACTCACCACTTCTCTACTAGTGTACTCTATAGATCTCATTAGTCCAGGTCCTAGGACTTAGGATTCAACAGACCTTACAGGACTGAGGATTCAACAGACCTTACAGGACTGAGGATTCAACAGACCTTACAGGACTGAGGATTCAACAGACCTTACAGGACTGAGGATTCATACTTAATCTGTGTACTAAACTGTTATTTCCATATCATTAATGGCATTTGAGTTACATAGGTTTTATGAAAAACTTGAAACATGTCAAATCTTCCCCAGGTATCAACGCTTCAATTCAAACTGGGCTGCAAAGAGGGCTTAGGGTTAGACACATATCTTGTGGGAATTAATTCCAAAGATTTACTTCCTGTTGAGATTGACAAGGAATAACTGTAGATGGCTGTTTCAGTATTTGAGATCGTGATTTCATCCCATCAAGTGCAGATGATGCTTGAGGAATTTTGAGATACACAACATATTATGTGTTTTGTGATATAATCTGTACTACCTAGAGACAGCTTACATCAAACTATCTACGGTGTACTGAGAACATGTTCTACACCAAGTGAACAGCTGCTCATACCAAAGGCTGGTACCCAAGTAGTCGAGATCTCCTCAGCAACCGATCTGTCAGCTTGGATACAGTTTGATAAACTGCTGACAATAAAGGGGGAAAAAGGAGTGATATTTTGTCACTTTCTTACCTTTACTCTGTGGTATTGGCTTTTAATTTTAGTTTGTTTATTTCTCAGTTACAATAAAGCTGATTAAGATCATATAATGATGACCAAAAAAAATAACAGGAAAAAGTTTGGAACAAGTTTGAAGTTTCCTCTCCACAATATCCTCTGTCTTTCTCACTCCCACACATTCTCCACCTTCCCTCCTGCCATTCCACTCCTTTCTTCCAGCACTCTCCCTCTTTTCCTCCCACACTCTGCCCTCCTTCCCTCTTGCACTTTCCCTTCTTGTTTGCCCTCTTTCGTGCACCGCTGTCTTCCTTCCTTCCAGCACTCTTCCTGTTTCCCTTCCACACTTTGCCTTCCTTATCTCTTGCACTCTCTCTCCTTCTCAGCCCTTTTGTCCACCACTCTCTTCCTTCCTTCAAGTACTCTCTTCCTTCCCTTCATCACTCTCCCCCCTTCCCTCTTTAAATCAGACTCTCCACCCCCTCACTCCCACATCATCTCACACAGAAAATCGGGACATAAAATATTCCTCCAGTTAATGTCTGTCTGACATTAAACAGACAAATTTGTTAGTGTTCCAGACCTAGATAACACCAGATTTCTACACGTAGTTTATCTACTGTGTAACACATTATTTATCCGAAAGGAATTCTGAAGTAGTGTTTTAAAATTTACTGTTTTGGGAAGATAGAAAGCACTGCAATCTACATCTAGACATGTAATCGTTAGAAGGTCTGTAGGTAGATATAAGTTGTCATCGTAATATGGTATAACATGCCAGCTGGTCTCTTTCAATAGATCTGGGAGATGTTTAGCAGACATAGCCAAATGTTAGGTGTCCATGTTTATCTGTTTATACATTGCTCTCAGACCACTAGGTTCTCCTCCATCCCAGTCTTCTAAGTTTTCCCCTCTATTTCCCTCCCTTTGGTGTTCTGACTTATACCGGTCTTTATCAGAAGACATCACAGAATGAAAGCAATCAGTGGACATGCTGTTATTTTAAAGAAGATGCTAAAACCTGTTCAGTCATTTTTCTGGTGTCTTCCTGTCCCAAAACTTAGTTAACTGAATGAAAAAGTGATGTTTTTCATTGCTGACAGATAGGCTTACAATAAACTGATACAGGTACAAATAGTACTCGATTAATTAAATAGCCGTCAGCTGTTTGACTCGGTCTTCCTTCTGGGCCTTGGTTAGTAGCTGTGGAATCAACCGTGTAGTTTACATAATTTAAGTGTCATCATTATCTTTGCACATTATTTTTCTTAGGTAAATGGGCTCTGTGTATGATATGAAATATTTCTTGCGTGTTTTTCAATTTGTGTATAATTTCTTTCATCATTTGTGTTTTTCAGTAAAATGTTCCAATGCCCTTGGAATGGAGTCCTGGCGGATCCCAGACGGCGCCATCACTGCCAGCTCATCATACAAGGACCAGTCTGTAGGACCGAAGAGTGCAAGGTCTGTAACCCAGCATTTTGGCCATTTCTGAAATCTGATTGGTCAGTTGAGAATCCGTTTGATTGGTGTATGGTCTTTCTTTTGAAATTTGTTGAATTGATTTGTCATTGATTGGTCACAAAACTGCATATCAGTCCATGTTTCTAACAAAGATTAAAAATTTGCCATAAAATTAAAGTCATAAACATTTCAACACACCCAAATACTGCTGATTAATCAGTGATCACACAAGCTGTAGGACTTCGCAGGAGGATAGGAATTAAAAAGAATTAATTTGTAGGTCTNGGGGGGGGAAAGAATTAAATATGTAGATCTTCATGTCAGAGGGCCAACTTGTGCTAGTCGCCATAAAGGAAGCCACGTTGTAACATGCTTCATATGCATGGAAGACTTACAACACTGAATCATGCAAATTTCACTTAATCTTTTATTAGAATTCCGGCTTGTTACAAGTCATGTTACTGGTAGCATGGCTTCCTGTCGCAAAAATTACAGGGGATTGGGGGAAAAGTAGGTTGCAAGGAATGACTTGAAAAATTGCCACATTTTAATTAGAGCTACACATGCCCTTATTATCTGAACAATGGGCGAACTCATTACTGTAAAATGTTTCCCCTTCGCCGCATCCAAGGACCACGCTAATTATGTAATACTCACCATTCATTTTAGAAGCTAAGTCAATTAAGGATGGCTGTGGAACAAAATGCAGTTACATGCAATATATTATAATGGTGCAAGTGTCCCAAGCCTAATTCCTTAATGTGTCGGTGCCGAAAGGGGATGGAACCTGACAATATGGGGCTTGTCCTTGACATCATTACAATTATCCATGAACGGTTCTATGTGAAGGTCTGAACACTCTCATCACTTTTTGACCAAGTTAAGTAAATGACTTCTAGCAACTTTTTATGACGTAAGAAATTTATCTGATAGTTACATACACAAATACTGATTTTTAAAATATAAATGTTGAGAATTATTTGAGAGATTCAGGATTATTTTTGTTGAAATTCAAACACATCAATCCTCTAACAAGTTTTTCACATTTTTTTTTCTCTCGTGAATTGAAATTATACTGTTAATGAAATATTGATAACTGGAACAGGAATTCATTCATGAAAGGTTCTTAATTTAGAAACTGGTGATGTTCTGCAGATGTGTCCCTATTGGTCTACTGTAACTATCACCCTCCCTTTGGACATCATGGGGGCTGCCCTTGACCCCTTTGAGTCTCCCTGTTGGTATACTGTAACTATCACCCTCCCTTTGGAAATCATGGGGGCTGCCCTTGACCCCTTTGAGTCTCCTGTTGGTCTACTGTAACGATCACCCTCCCTTTGGACATCATAGGGGCTACCCTTGACCCCTTTGAGTCTACCTGTTGGTCTACTGTAACTATCACCCTCCCTTTGGATATCATGGCGGCTGCCCTTGACCCCTTTGAGTCTCCTGTTGGTCTATTGTAACTATCACCCTCCCTTTGGACATCATGGGGGCTACCCTTGACCCCTTTGAGTCTCCTGTTGGTCTACTGAAACGATCACCCTCCCTTTGGACATCATAGGGGCTGCCCTTGACCCCTTTGAGTCTACCTGTTGGTCTACTGTAACTATCCCCCTCCCTTTGGATATCATGGGGGCTGCCCTTGTCCCCTTTGAGTCTCCCTGTTGGTCTACTGTAACTATCACTCTCCCTTTGGACATCATGGGGGGTGCCCTTGACCCCTTTGAGTCTCCTGTTGGTCTACTGTAACTATCACTCTCCCTTGGGACATCATGGGGGCTGCCCTTGACCCCTTTGAGTCTCCCTGTTGGACTGGTGTAACTTTAATGCCATTGTTTGGACTCTGTGCCATCTTGGTTTTACCTCTACAGTGCCTGACCTTTACATATTCCTCCATATTTGAAAAAAGAGATTAATATCCTATCTATAGATTTGTTACATTCGAAAGATTTAAATGTTAATTTGTTTTAATTAAAATGATTTACGCATAATTTTTAATTGTTCTATTTTCTTTGATTTGATTCTTTAAATAGAATTAGTTCCAAGGACAATGTTTTTTGCAGTGAAGACTGATTAGTTATATTTTGACTTCATTTGATTTATGAGTTTTAATTTGTCAAACAGGGACATGCTGCTAATAATGTTGCACTTAAAGTGTTGTGTTGGTAATGATACACAATCAAGGCTATAGTCCTCTGTGATCATTCTGTGTTGGTAATGATACACAATCAAGGCTATAGTTCTCTGTGATCATTCTGTGTTGGTGATGATACACAATCAAGGCTATAGTTCTCTGTGATCATTCTGTGTTGGTGATGATACACAATCAAGGCTATAGTTCTCTGTGATCATTCTGTGTTGGTGATGATACACAATCAAGGCTATAGTTCTCTGTGATCATTCCGTGTAGGTAACGATCCCAATCAAGGCTATAGTTCTCTGTGATCATTCTGTGTTGGTAATGATACCAATCAAGGCTATAGTTCTCTGTGATCATTCTGTGTTGGTGATGATACACAATCAAGGCTATAGTTCTCTGTGATCATTCCTTGTTGGTAATGATACACAATCAAGGCTATAGTTCTCTCTGATCATTCTGTGTTGGTAATGATACACAATCAAGGGTGTAGTTCTCTGTGATCATTCTGTGTTGGTAATGTTACACAATCAAGGCTGTAGTTCTCTGTGATCATTCTGGGTTGGGAAGGATACACAATCAAGGCTATAGTTCTATGTGATCTTTCTGTGTTGGTAATGATACACAATCAAGGCTATAGTTCTATGCGATCATTCTGTGTTGGTAATGATACACAATCAAGGGTGTAGTTCTCTGTGATCATTCTGTGTTGGTAATGATACCAATCAAGGCTATAGTTCTCTGTGATCATTCTGTGTTGGTGATGATACACAATCAAGGCTATAGTTCGCTGTGATCATTCTGTGTTGGTAATGATACACAATCAAGGGTGTAGTTCTCTGTGATCATTCTGTGTTGGTAATGATACCAATCAAGGCTATAGTTCTCTGTGATCATTCTGTGTTGGTGATGATACACAATCAAGGCTATAGTTCTCTGTGATCATTCTGTGTTGGTGATGATACACAATCAAGGCTATAGTTCTCTGTGATCATTCTGTGTTGTTAATGATCCCAATCAAGGCTATAGTTCTCTGTGATCATTCTGTGTTGGTAATGATACCAATCAAGGCTATAGTTCTCTGTGATCATTCTGTGTTGCTAATGATACACAATCAAGGCTATAGTTCTCTGTGATCATTCCTTGTTGGTAATGATACACAATCAAGGCTATAGTTCTATGCGATCATTCTGTGTTGGTAATGATACACAATCAAGGCTATAGTTCTATGCGATCATTCTGTGTTGGTAATGATACACAATCAAGGCTATAGTTCTATGTGATCATTCTGTGTTGGTAATGATACACAATCAAGGCTATTGTTCTATGTGATCGTTTTTTCCTTCTTCCTGGCGAAAACAAACTTTTCATTAAAGTTATATTCATGTCGCCACATAATTGGTAGAATAGGCTATAAGGTATTTGGAATGGTCTCATCTTTGCATATGGGAGGATATATCACACCTCCTTTTTCTCTTACAAAGGGAGTTCTACTGGGGGAGGGTGTCTTGTCTGCACACCATGGTCGGAGTACGGACTAGAAAACCTAAAAAAACTTGTTATACATACTAATGTTGTACTCTTGGCATGTACCTTCTGCAAAGACATGTTATATTAAGATAGAAAGTGTGTTGACACCTAAATCCGGATGTCATGTTGAGGGGGATGAAAGGATGACACCTCCAGACCATTCTACAAAGAGAGCTCTCCTATCATAGGAGGAGAAAACATATAAGTTTGACTCCTCAGCTTGTTACCCAAATTGGAATTTACCATCGTCTGGAGGGATGAAAGGATCATAAATCTCTCTCCATGGTATCAAGGGAACTCTTTTCCTAGGGAGGGGAGAAAGTATGTGTGTGGTTCCGTTACATCAACACCTAATGACCCAGTTGAGAACTTTTGATTTCATGCTTGTTATGCTGGTCCTAAAGTCATGATTTACCATTATATGGTAGCACAGGTTTGTTTTTCTCCTGCCTATAAATCTGTCCATCTCCAGACCCAGACTAGCAGTGTCGCTTTGATATTTCACTCTTATCTTCCTACTACTTCTGGTGATAATCAGCTACAAAATGAGCACACTTCAACGGAAGCAGTGATAAAGAGGCATCCTGAAAAACATTGGTCTGTAGGTTATAGCAGAAAGGACAGTGTTAAATCATTATATTTTCTTCTTCCTCATTATCGCTGGTTAGTGGTTTAGGGTGCAAAACTCCACAAGAAAATGAAAAAAGACATAAATATTTCACACTTTGCACTAAGCTCCATATACTAAGTTTAGTTCGGTTAATTTAGGACTTTAGGCTTGGGTTGTACCGATGACTTCATTACCGCTTCAAATCTGGGAACAGGAATGCCTGAAATAAATTGGAAACCTTTAAAAATAGTTTTCTAAATGTCCATAAAACAAGCAGAGAGTGACAAATGTTTTGCTGCCTAGGTTCTGTGATAGAATCTGTAGGTCGTTGTCACACATATGGAAGTGATTCCTGGAATTCCACTTACAGATCCTCTTGGATAGGGAGTTTTGATTCTCTGGATATGGGGGGACTCAGGGGTGAAAATGCAAGTGACTCATTTCACAACACTGAGCTCCAGACAGGCTGTCAAAACGTGTGCCAATGAACTGAGGACTGTTTTCGTGTAAACACAGATGTAGACATGTTAGTCCATGGCCAGTGGAATCTCTAGTTCTATAACCAGTAAATGTTTTCAGATTATCACTCCAAGCTCTACGCACAAATCAAATGTACACATCCTTATTTCTGAGTGAAACTTAAATAAATAAATTTTATGTGGAAAAGTTCACACTTTACTATCCAAGCGGTTATTGTAGAATGGTGTTACTATGGTGGGA